CTTCAATATGAAGAGTAAATGAGAGGTTAGATGCCAAAGTAACACCAAGGTATCGGAAAGAGGATACTTCGTTGGGCAAAATCTCAATGGATTCAGGTTTGGGAGAGGGTCGCAGTCGAAAAACACACTAGACTGACTTCTGGTAGAAGGCAATTTGCTGACGACCATGCTTAGATGTGGTCCAGCCCATCCTTCAGTACTTGCGGATGTATCTGACTTTTGAGAGGACGGTAATTTCGATTGGTTACTTTCCCTCTCTCGTCTTCCCTCTCTCTCTCTCTCTGTGTGTGTGTCGCTTTCCCTCAACGCCTTTGTTACCTGGTTGGTTTGTCTTGAATCTTCTACATCTCTTTGCATCTCTCTTCATCACACAGGGACGCGGTTCTTCAACGCATGCCCACACCCACAGCGTCAACGAAGACCATCATGTCTTCCTCAATCTGGAAACGCATCGCTTCTACTGTCTGCCAGACAACTATGAGGTCATCGACGGTTCTCTCGAGGACATCACCTACCTCCTCAATCCCACCTTTCTGAAGTCGGACATTGCCCAACTGGACGTCAGTACGAGTATGGTGCGCGCTTATAACGGCCTCACCTACTATCCCGGCTTTGTTGGTCTCAACAACATTAAGGTGCGTCGTGTCCTTATTTTCCGTGCCTTCCACTCCGCCCCCCGTCGCCTGATTGCTGGTTCAGCTGTCAAATCAAGCGAACACAGCAGGATTTATTTGGGTACAAATAAATTTCGGGACGGCTTGTCAACTGCTTGTCCTGTCTTTGCATGAATAAGATAACAAATGGAGAACTCAACAGTTTGAATTTTTACAGAATCAATAACAGCAAGGTCATTTTTAAACGCGGCGAATGGTCAATAATAATGTCCTCAAGTTTTAAAAAAGTCAGAATTCCGGGATTGTTACAACCCGCTGGAGTAGGCATAGCCCATCGACCTCAGGCGACAATACGTCGCCGAGTGATGCAACCTAAAACAGACTGCCCCCTACTGAAACCTCCGCAGTTGTCTACAAAATAAGTTGCAACGATAGAGACTGTAATTACGTTGGAGAAACAGGGCGCATACTGCAGACCCGCTTACAGGAATACAAAGTGGCGGCACGGAGACTAGACCGTAACTCACAGCTTGCAACACATCGGAGAGACTGGCCACAATTTCGATGTTCAAGGAAGGACTATCGTAGGCCGAGGAGCCTAAAAAGCTGTAAAATTGACGCTTGAGGCATGGTACTCGGACGCCAACTCTGTCAACAGGCATGTAGACCTCCCTGCGGCCTTCAAAGTCCTACGTCATTACGTAAGTAAAGGACAGGACACGGTCAACCCAAAGTCAGGAATTGCAGACGAAGACGGCACTGTGACGAAACCACCGGAAGAGGGAGCAGGACTACTAGCGTCCTCTACTGTGGGGACGAAACAGAACACCAACTGCCGTCACGCCAAGCCCAAATCCACACGCATGGCCAAAGAGCGACCGGAGAAAAATCGACCAGCCCAAAGCCAACATGCAAACCCGCAA